TTCGATCCTACTTTCAACCTTTCCTATGTGTCTCCTGATGTTCATCTTTTTTTTATTACACACCTACGTGTGAATGACAGGAAATGGGGCGAACTTCATGGTCATGAAGTCCTGCTTTTCATTTGTGGAATCCGCAAACTGACTGCAAACGAGTGAAACCGGCAATCAAGGTGGCTGTTCAGGGTGTTCAGCTTTAGCAGATGTCCCCTGAGGTGATCATTATGAGATAAAGTCAGCATAGAACGGCAAGGGTGGTTGGGTTATTGCAGTATGCGATATGGCTGGATTAGGTCCCTCCGAAGTCAAGGGTATTGAGATGAGCAGAGTCCCAATATTTGCAATCTTTTGGAGTATGTCTTGTTATGCAGACCTTTTACCAACTTTGTTACCAGCCTTTGCGGACGTTCTAGAGCCTTCTTGTCGTGGTTTAACCATAGATTCCATACTTGAACGGCGTACTCCGTGCGTGGCCGAACAAACGCTGATAGCAATCGTGGGAACAGTGCTCTTTCGAACTGCCTGAAAACACGTCTGAGTAGCCCGATTTGCTTTAGTCGTGGATGATGCTCTGGCACAATGCGTGGAACATCCTACGTCCTCTTGTACCACAACTTCAAAATGCCTCCAAATGCTTCAGTATGGTCGAGAGTGGGTGTCTCGGTCCCCCGAAATGGCCATTCGTCCCGAACTCCTCTGGAAATGCTCCCAAAGGACCAAGCGCCTTAAATAGCTTCTGCTGAGGAAGTCCTACCCACTGCCTTCTACTGGCGGAGGTGTTAACACTAAAGTGGGAGGGCAAAGGCGAACGCCCGGCGCTTTCCACCGGGTTGACTGACCACTGGTAGTCAGTCTAGGGGAGTTGGCTAAACCCTGATTCCAAACCACCCACACCTGGCGTAAGAAGCTCATAGTGGCACCAATCTTCGGCGCAACCGAACCGGTCTCCAAAGTTAATCCTTGGAGGTGACCACCGTGATGCTCACCGGCAAGTGCGAGGCTCAAGGGTAATCTGGGTACCCTGGATAGTTGGCCGCATCCGAAAGGCGTATGAACTGAACCCCCCCCCAGTCACGGGCTCCCAGAGGATCGTGGACTCCCTGCTCCACCCCACTGCCTTGCGGGTCAGGTTCTTTAACCAAAGGCCCGGGTAGGGTCCCCCAAGAAAACCCTCTACCTCGGCCTGGGCAATCGGGTAGTACCACGCCCACAAACTAACCATGGACTTATGGACATACAAACACACGAATGTCACAGTTTATCACACCTCTGCAAACCTTTCTCTCAACATCTGCACGCAACACTCTCACCCACCCCCCACTTTTTCTACTGTTAGCCCCACCCCGAATTGTTCCACTGACGTAGGTTCATGTTGTAGCTCGCCGCTATCCTCCCTGACATCTGTCTCGGGACCGTCCGTTCCATTCCTCCGACCTCACTCTACGTTCAAACTGGCTTCATTCAACGTAAGAACTCTAATGCGTATAGGACAACAAGCAGGTTTAGCTCGTACGCTCGAAAGTCTAGAGATTGATGTGTGCTACCTCTCGGAAACACGCATCCAGGATCCGAGCTCAGTGATCCGAATAACGTCTCATTCCAACCCAAAAGAAGCGTTTCAACTGCGAGTCTCCGGGGCCCCCATCGCTTCAGTGTCTGGTCAAGCAGGCGTTGGTATTGCCTTAAGCCCCAGGGCCGAGGCTGGTCTATTGGACTGGATCCCGATAGATAGCCGACTATGCGCAGTGAGACTCAGAGGCTCAAGTAAGATCAAAAAGCAGAAACGAAATGAGCGATGCTTATTCGTGGTTTCGGTATACGCTCCCACAGACTGTAGCCCCGATACAGTCAAGGATGCTTTCTATCACAACCTACATGAGCTTCTTCTCAGAGAACCCAAGACGGATATCGTGATCCTGGTCAGAGGCCTAAATGCATGTGTTGGCCGTCTATCACCCAAGGAGACTCACCTTGGTGGCCGTCATGGCCATGATAGCTGTCATTCAGATAATGGAGATAGACTTATTAGCATATGCTCAGAACATTATCTGTTTCCGTTAGCACGAACTTCGCCACCTGGCGTAACCCCTCTTCGGTACAGACGTGGAGTCAGATTGACCACATAGCTATCAGCTATAGATGGAGAGGATGTGTGAAAGACTGCCGTTCATATTGGTCTACTTGCTTGGACTCCGACCACGCACTGGTTTGTGCCAAGTTGTTTGTGTTTTTGGTGGCCGCAAAAAGATGCGATGCAAACAGCTCGACATCGCCAAGCTCTCTGACTCGGCCGTACTAGCCGATTATCAAAACGAGTTGGCCGCAAGGCTAACTACTACCCCACCAAGTAGCGTAGATCAACACTGGACAACCATTGAAAACGCAATGAATTCAGTTGGTTTACACAGTTGTGGCCTAACCCGCCGAGTTGTGAATCACTGGGTCTCTTCTAACTCTCTCAAACTCCTCGACGCGCGTCGAGCAATCCCGGTAGACAACGAGTACAACGAGCAGTGCCTCTCTCTGAAGCGTGAACTCACAAAGAGTTTGAGAAACGACAGAGAGGCCTGGTGGACGCTACGCGCGAAGAAGATCGAATCAGCGGCTAGGTGTGGAAACACCCGGCAACTCTTCCAGCTCATCCATGCTACAGGCCCCAAAAGACAGTGCGTTAGTGAAACAATCTGCGAAATAGATGGCCCGCTAATAAACAGCCTTCACCGGCGATTGGGACACTTGGTGGAGCACTTCA